GATACTAATGGCTCTTTTTTAATATTAAAATAAAAGAGATTTATAATTACCTGCTCTGTGCTCTGATTCTGCACAGAGTGGCCCCTTACCTCTGCTTTAGTGGTCACCTGCCAGTGCTGTCCACATCTTCTCCCTGTGAGTACCCTTAAAGCAAGCCGGCTGCTGTGGGGGCATTTGTGAGGGCTTACTCCTGAGCTGGGCTGTGTGCATCTATAGACACAAACAGTTTGGCATGGCCACACCCCCGCTCCCTCCTCACAGGATTTGACTGACAGCAGTTGGAGCAAATGGGATCAGTTGAGTGAATGACTTTAGAGCTTTTTCTGTTAACTTGGAGGATACATTTCTTCACTGTGCATGTCGCTACAAAGGTTAATGAGGATTTATTTTAAAGCTCGCTTACTGCTTGTAGACATATGTAAAAAATACTTGAATGTCCAAAGCCTGGTCACAGGTTACTCTAATGTAAGCTTGAGTATACTTTAAATATGCATTTGTGTCTAGAAGCAGAAGGCAGACATCTAGAATTTTGAGCATATAACTCTCAATGGGCACAATTCACTAAGTGGTATCTTACCGCATCCATGTACAGCATTTTTTTTAAAATTTGAATTCACTAAAAAAAGCAACTAAAATACGGTATGAGTTATTTTATTACGTCATGTGGTATTTTAGTAGTGAAAATCATGCAGTAATGTTTCAGCTGTCAGCGGGGTTCCCCACTGACAGCTGAATGTAAAAGAAAGAATAGCCGGCAATAAAAAAAATTATCTTCAAGTCTGATATGGGTTTTGAGGGGAACCCCAACATTAACATTTTTTTTAAAAATGGTATGGGGTCCCCCCCAAAATCCATACCAGACCCTTATCCGAGCATGCAGCCCAGCAGGTCAGGAAAGAGAGGGGACAAGCGAGCGTCCCCCCTCCTGAACCATACTAGGTCACAAGCCCTCAACAAGGGGTGGTGCTTTGGGGCAGGGGGGGTCCCCCCAAAGCACCCCCAGGGTCTCTTCCCCACAACCCTGGCTGCAAACGGGCGGCTTATTGGAATCTGGAAGCCCAGATCCAGCCCTTCCCCACCATGTGAATGAGTATGCAGTACGTGATACTGCTACTCATTCACAAAAAATACTGTAGTGTAAAAAAAAAGTCAGGAGTCAGACTTTGACAAGTCCTTTATTAAAAGAAGAAAAATAAAAAAATGTCCCCAGAAGTAGATCCAACATCAATCACGATGCTTGCCGCCACCGCTGACTCGAAAAAAAAAAAAGGCTCCGCTCATGATGCTGGCTCCCACCGTCCAACTGCTCCACTGGCCTGACAGTTCTTAAATATCTAAGGGGCGTGGTCACTCGGTGACATCACCCATGTGACCCCTGCCACTTGTGACATCTACCCAGTATACAATACAATCGTATAATATAAAAATATCTCATGCATGCACAGGTGCCTGAATGAAGGAACGTTTTTGTTGACCACAGAAACCAATAGATTCTCCCATTCATACCAATGGGTCTATAAACCTAGAACTGAAGTACCAGTGAAGTAGGGGATACCTTTACCTAGTCTGGGCTAGTCATTAGACTGTGGTAGGGAGTATAAATCCAGCCTGGTAACAACCCGTCAAGTTTTTATTGTATCTTAGCACTACACTATTGTTTTTTGATGTTTATTATACTATGTATTATGGTATCATGCTAGCTGCTATGTTTTTTGACATCCAACGAAGTCCTAGCACTTTTTTTTTTTTCTCATTTTATTGGTACCTGTTTCCAAGTTGGGGAGATTTTCCCATTACTTTCTGTTCCAATGACTCAATAAGAAGAGATTTACTCAATGAATATAACACAGACTTCTATTTCTCACTTCCTGTCCTGATGACCCAACATGAAGCGAACGGAAATCTCTAAACAAGGACAACAATAAAACCCTGGTAGAGATTGTATTCCTTATCCATTTAACCAAAACTAAGAAAAAAAAGTTTTGGCAGGAGTTAGCCTATTTTTTTATTGCTTTGAATAGATTGTTCATGAGATGTTATTGCAAACCTTACTAAATACAGTACATTTTCCTTGAGCAGATCATAAGATAATTAAATAGTCCATTATACCCAAGGTAATACAAGGCATATCTGCATTCAATGATCATTTTCTGCAATCACCCGACACACACATCTCACTGGCATAGCTATAGATACGTTTTCATTGACTGCTATAAATTCATGGTAAGTTACTCAAAAATCTCAACTAAATGTAACAAAGATAAAAAAAACAGCAATAGAAAATGGGAGTTAAAGGACAATGTCTTTCAAAACCGGATAAACATTATCAGTTACGTGTATGTCCAGACAACAAGTTCTCCTTAATATTGGATAGATTGGGAAAGGGTAAGAATCTCTGAATCTGGAACTATGTTAGAGAGATTTTGCCTCACTTCTGTTATGCCGACACCAATTGACAGACAGGAAGTGATGGAAACTCTCCAACAGCATCAAAGACTTACAAAAAAATGTTTTCTTTAGTAGAGCAAGGCAAGACTAGAACCCTTGGGAGATTGTTTGCTTTTTCTGTGTCCCTATGGCAGATATTTCCTCTTGTCTGGTGAAATTGTTGTCAGCAGGACAGGAACTAAGAGCAAATCTCTCTGAGTGCTGAATAGCAATAAAAACCCAACGGGGGTTCTAACCCTTCCCTATTCTATCCAAAAATAGAAAAAATAGCTTGATACATACTTTGTGTATGCTGGAAAATTCAATTGAATGCTAACTTCTTATTTCATTTTGGGACCATTGACTTCTCCAGTCATTACAAAACCAGACTGCGGCTTTATGCTCTCTCATAAGGTAAACTAAAAAAATGAACCAGAGAATTAAGCTGCAAAAAAGGTGATGCCTTCATTGTGGCCTTAAATGGTACTGAAGATACAGATTGCCAAGAGGTACATGTGCCAGTTGAGATGAGAGAAAAAAGATGCTAGAATCTAGACTTTATGATAACTAGATAAATAAAAACATATACCAGAAGGAGGAAAGGGGAAAAGAAGAGAGGAGAGGAGATGAGAGGAGAGGAGACAATGAAAAAAAGAGGAGAGGAGAGAAGAGAGGATGGAGGGAAGGGATAAGAGGAGAGGAGAGAGGAGACAATGAAAAAAAGAGGAGAGGAGAGGAGAGAAGAGGATGGAGGGAAGGGATAAGAGAAGAGGAAAGGAGACAATGAAAAAAGAAATGAGAGGAGAGAAGAGAGGATGGAGGGAAGGGATAAGAGGAGAGGAAAGAAGAGAGGATAGAATCTAGACTTTATGATAACTAGATAAATGAAAAAATATACCAGAAGGAGGAAAGGGGAAAAGAAGAGAGGAGAGGAGATGAGAGGAGAGGAGACAATGAAAAAAAGAGGAGAGGAGAGAAGAGAGGATGGAGGGAAGGGATAAGAGGAGAGGAGAGAGGAGAGGAGACAATGAAAAAAAGAGGAGAGGAGAGAAGATGGAGGGAAGGGATAAGAGAAGAGGAGAGGAGACAATGAAAAAAGAAAGGAGAGGAGAGAAGAGAGGATCGAGGGAAGGGATAAGAGGAGAGGAGAGAAGAGAGGATAGAATCTAGACTTTATGAAAACTAGATAAATGAAAAAATATACCAGAAGGAGGAAAGGGGAAAAGAAGAGAGGAGAGGAGATGAGATGAGACAATGAAAAAAAGAGGAGAGGAGAGAAGAGAGGATGGAGGGAAGGGATAAGAGGAGAGGAGAGAGGAGAGGAGACAATGAAAAAAAGAGGAGAGGAGAGGAGAGAAGAGAGGATGGAGGGAGGGGATAATAGAGGAGGAGAGGAGACAATGAAAAAAGAAAGGAGAGAAGAGAAGAGAGGATGGAGGGAAGGGATAAGAGGAGAGAAGAGAGGATAAAGGGAAGGGATAAGAGGAGAGGAGAAAAGGGAAGAGAGGATGGAGGGAAGGGATAAGAGCAGAGGAGAGAAGAGAGGAGAGAAAACAAGGAAAAAAGAAAGGAGAGGAGAGAAGAGAGGATGGAGAGAAGGTATAAGAGGAGTGGAGAAGAGATGAGAGGAGAGGAGAGGAGAGAATGAAAAAAGAGAAGAGAGGATGGAGGGAAGGGATGAGAGAAGAGAGGAGAAGAGAAGAGAAGAGAGGAGAGGAGAGGCAAACAAATAGCTTCTTCAAAAACACCTACGAGTCACAAAAGGAAATAAAAAAAGTCAATTTTATTTCAAAGTTTGCTTCGTATATTGAAGCACATATTAAAGCAACAGTACGATGTTCATAAAATATAAGTGTGATGCCGTAACATGTCAGAATACTGATATTTTCGTATGTATACTAAAATAAGAATTTTAAAATTGTACAAATAGATACATTAAAAATGACATAGAAATAGGGTGCGATTCTGGCACGTATTAGTTTTAAGACGGGATTATAAGCAAAAAAGATTTACAAGAATCAGCAGTAACAAGTCTGATGCTCAAGAGACATTATAATTGTACATTTTACTGTACATACATAATATGAGTTGAAGCTGGCTGAATATTATAGTGTATTTTTTTGTCATTTTTGTATATTTTTTTTTTCAAGTTTAAAAATGCACTACATATAAAGTGTCCATAGTTTAAGGCGACGTTACAGCTCAAAACTGTTATCCTTTCTAACTTTTTGTGGAAGCTTTGTCGGACATAGATCTGGATGGTTATGTTACATACTGTAAAAAAACTCCCCTTTAGATCAAGTGTTTTCCTGCTTTTCTCGGTCCCATCTCAGTATAAGTGGTTTAGTCCCAGATAACTGACAACTGCAACACAGGCTGTAGGGTTTTCACAGTATCTACCACCACTAAAGTCCTTATTCATGAACAAATTCTGCCTTGTAAACCTTTTAAGGTCAAATAGGCCTCTTTTATTTTATCTTTCCTTTAAAAAAAAATACCTGTTAATGATTTTTTCTGCTTTTTCTTTTTGAGAATGTAACACAGTTCTTAAGGCCAAGATTAGTACATTATCGTTAAGAATCATCTTCGCAAGTGTCTTTGGAGCCATATAAGTCTGCTAGTTTCTTAAATCGAGGTCCCCAGTTTTGTAGATAATCATAGTCCAGGTCCGAATCTGTCGAGGCGGATTCTAAAGAGCTGAGAGAGCCCGCCACGGATCCTCTCCCTTCGTATCCATAGATTTGGATGGAATCGTAAGGAGGTGCTGTTGGATCATTGTCAGCTTCGTGTATTCTTGTGTTGATGAAATCATCAACGTCAACGCTGTTCGGAGCCGGTCTTATTCCAAGATCTCGTGGTGCGTATTGATATTCAGGCTTGATGTCTTTTCGTGGAATAAACCCATTAATTCCATCAGGATTTTGCAAAGTGGCAATGTCGAAAGCTTCAGTGTCTTCCTCTCCTCCACCCTCGTCGTCGTATGTTATTATGTTTTCACGGATATCTTCCTCCTCAAATACAATCAGAGGTTCCTTCTTTTCTCTCCGCAATGCAACAAATAACACCACAATCACTGCAGCAGAAAAAAAGAAGAATCTTTAACATTTTTGTAACTCTTGGTAATAACTCATGCAAGCTGTCAATTAAAAAGTTTAATGGAAATCATTAGTTAACACCTTCTCCCGCCCAGCCTATAGTAGATTGACGACCAGGCGGGACACTCATATGACGCCCTGTGAGAAGGTGCCACTCACGTGGCCGTGGGGATGCACAGTGGTGCAACCTGTCACCAGCTGTGTCCATGGGACACAGACGATGACAGATCACTACACCAGCCTGCTGCCAGTGTCATGTGACCAATGTCACCAATCACAGCAGATCACATGACAATTGTTTACAATGGATGGTTTCCTTTTATGCCATCCTTGTGTACAATTGTGTTGTTAGCTGTGATTGGTCACAGCGATCACATGGTACAGACAGAGACAATCACAGCCCATATATACCATGTGATGAGCTTTGCCCAGTCACAGCTAATCACAACAAAAGACCGAACGAATCAGTTTCATTCAGTTAAAACGGATGCCAATATCAATGAAATATAATGATATTAGCAATGATAATGTGTAAACAAATCCTGATCACTTGCCCAGAGTAGTACAATGTTACTATGGTAACACTGTATTGCTCTGGTCACAGTGTACTGAAAAAGATAGTAAAAAAAAAGAAGAACAAATTTAAGAAAAAGTAATAGAAAAAAAAAAATATATAAATAAATATATATATATATATACACACACACACACATATATATATGATATATTTTAACATATTGTCACCAATCAGTGTCCTTGATCACAACCACACCAGTTATATGATAACGCTGTACAGGAATGGTGACAATATGTTGAAAAAAAATTTGTGAATATAATTTTTTTAATTTCTTCATTTTCCACAAAATTGTGACAAAAAATTACAACTTCAAGAATCTCACCATGCCTCCTACTAAATACTTTGGACTGTCTCTTTTCCAAAAATGGGGCATTTGGGAGGTATTTTTACTATCTTGGTGTTTTCAGGCCTCCAGAAATTAGATTGGCCGTCAGTACATCAAGATTGATCGATTGTGAGAAATATATACCATAGTTTGTGGACTCTATAGCTTTCCTATTGACTAAAAAATATCCACTAATTTGAGGTATTTATTTGCAAAATGTTATACCAGAAATTAAGAAAAACGCAGGTTTTTTTTTTTTTCAGAAGTTTCAGGTTTTTAGTTTATTAGCAAAAAATAAAAAAAACCCAGTGCTGATTAAATACCACCAAAATAAAACTCTATTTGTGTGAAAAAATTATAACTTTATTTATGGGTACAGTGTTGCATGACCGCGCAATTGTCATTCAAATTGCGACAAAGCTGAAAGCTGAAAATTGGCCTGGGCAGGAAGGGGGTAAAAGTGCCCGGTATTTAAGTGGTTAAAAATAAAATTAAACAATCTATGGTTAACTTAATCTATTTTAATACAATAATGCCTCTATACAGTAATAGAAATGATGTTTCAATCCTTAGAATCCTTGAAATCATAAGTCAGCGTGCTTAGAACTTTCACACATTAACCCCTTCCCACCCTGGGTCTCGTACTAATGATTGTTACCAGGGACTCCCGGATCCTGGTCACCTGATCACTGTGATAGTCTGTGATAGGCTATCCCAGTGATCAGTCACTGCAGCCCTGCTCCTTTGTTGTCTTTCTCTTTTGAATATAGAGAGGAAGATAAATTGTATGTTTATCTGTTTGCAGAAGTGAAAGATGTATATAAACAAGCGTGTAGAAAAAAAAAATAGCTGGATCAAAGTTTGATATGGGTCAGTTCCAGGATTTTGGGTCAAAGTAAGGGTCAAATGTCAATGTATGGGTCAAAAGTCAAGGTAAGGGTCAGATGATGGGGTCAAAGGTCAAGGTCAGTATATTTTGGGTAGGCTTTTTTTTTTTAAAAGCATTTTTTTAAATTAGTATGCATGTCATTTAGTGCCAATAGGCACAATTCACTAAGCCGTATCTTACCGCATCTGAGTATGCAGTAAGAAACCACTTTTTTAAAAAAAAGTTTGAATTCCCGAAAACACTCCACTAAAGTATCGCATTAGTTATTTTATTAAGTCATGCAGTATTTTAGTAGTGTAAACCATGTGAAAACCTGGTATGGTGTAGCATAGGGGGGGCGAGCGAGCCCCCGTTTCCTGACCTGCCGGACTGCAGGCTCAGATAAGGGTCTGGTATGGATTTTGGGGGGGACCCCACACCATTTTTTAAAAATATAATGGCATGGGGGTTCCCCTTCCTTCCTTCTTCGGTTACCAATCACTGACACTTTCAGAAAAGGAAGGGGTTAGTATATGACATATTTACTGGCCTCTTCTTCTTCATGACATAGCAGCCGGCAGGATAGGAGAGTGGGGAAGTCGGCAGAGCTGCGGGCGGTGAGGGGGGCCAGGAGAGCACATAGGGGCCTGGGTCAGAGGACGTATGTATTATTATTATTATCATTATTATTATTATTATTAATATACAGGATTTATATAGCGCCAACTGTTTGCTCAGTGCTTTACAATATAAAGAGAGACAATACAGCAACGATACAGTTCAATACAAGAGGGTTAGGAGGGCCCTGCTCCTTGGAGCTTACAATCTAAGAGGGAGGGGCTGGTGGTACAAAAGGTAATAACTGTAGGGGATGAACTGATAGGAGAGATAGAAGATTTGGTTATTAGCTGAGGGCAGGATAGGCTTCCCTGAAGAGATAGGTTTTCAGAGATCGTCTAAAAGTGGGCAGAGTAGGTGATAATCGGACAGATTGAGGTAGAGAGTTCCAAAGGATGGGGGAGGCTCTGGAGAAGTCCTGAAGACGAGCATGGGAGGAGGAGACAAGGGAGCTAGAGAGCAGGAGGTCATGGACAGTTTGGATGATATTTGGAGATAAGATTAGTGATGTAATTTGGGGCAGAGTTATACATGGCTTTATATGTTATTGTTAATGTTTTGAATTTTATTGGTTGGGCAATGGGAAGCCAGTGGAGGGATTGGTAGATAGGAATGGCAGACATGGAACATTTGGTAAGGTGGATAAGTCTGGCAGCAGCATTCATGATAGACTGAAGAGGCGATAGTCTGCGATGAGGTCGGCCAATAAGGAGGGAGTTACAATAGTCAAGGCGAGAGATAACAAGGGAGTGAATAAGTTGCTTAGTAATTTCAGTGGTTAGGAAGGGGCGTATCTTGGAGATGTTGCAGAGGTGAAGTCTACAAGATTTGGACAGTGATTGGATTTTGGGCTGAAAGGACATATGTACTTGATTTTTCTTTTACGAATAGAAGTAAGTCCAAGGAAAAAGTCAAGCTTGCCATATCCTGTTTCATTCAAAAAAGTGCATTAGATCTAGTCTATGCATTAGTTCTCTGACATATAGCAGTGATCCTTCTCTGGAGCATGATGGCAAGAGACAGGCTATTCAACTGCTGATGTGGCTGCTTTACAGCTAAATGAAGGATAGAGTGTGATATACGTACCGTTCTACAGCATCTGGAATCTATGTATCATGTTTTACAGCAGAGTTGGACTGTAAACTAACTCTGGCAAATGCAGAACAAAGAAAGAAATATCTGGATTGATCTTGACCTGCGTAACCCAACTGAGTTGATTTACTAAGACCAATTAGGCTGTTTTCTTTGCAAGTGAAGTTGGGATTATTGTCAGAACTTATTGTGGGGAAATTTCACTGTGCAAAGAAAATGACTGCAAAAAAACTGCACTTTTGCTTAACATGATTGGATGATGGAAGTCAAGTTCACCTCATTCACTACATTACTGGAGAAAATTGCCATGCAAAAGTCATTGGTTCTAATCCCACCTGCCTGGAGTTTGCATGTTCTCTTTGTTCCTGCGTGGGTTTCGTTCGGGTACTCTGGTTCCTTCCCACTCTCCAAAGACATGCTGGTAAGTTAATTGGACCCTATCTAAATTGGCCCTAGTATGTAGACCCCTTGAGAGTTAGGGACTGATTTGAATGTACAATGTAAAATATATATTATATATATATATATATATATAAAGTGCTGCGTAAATTGTAAGTACCTGTAATAAATAAATAAAGAAATAAAAATGCAACTTCCCTTGCTAAGTAAACAGCCTATTTGCCATTAGTAAATCAATTTATATTAATTATAACTAAAGACATAGTTAAAAACATTGGATTGCTTTAACTAGTAAACAGACATGCCACTCACCTAATAAAATGACAATACAGGCCAGAATGGCTATCAATGCTCCTGTGCTGAGCCCTGCATTCAGCGATAGTGGTTCGTCATTACAAGAAATGACACTCTCGTCACTGTTACAGCTGCAGATCCGGATGGTGAGGGTATTGGTACTGGTCATTGCTGGAATTCCTCCATCACTGATCACAATAGGAAGCAAATGCATTTTCTGTTTCTGACGACTGAAAGATACTCGTCCAATGTGCAGGGTTGCTGTGTTATCTGACCAAAATACAAGGGATGACATTAGTTTTAAGGATGCAAGGATTAGGCTTTCCATTAGCAGTTCCTGATTTTCTGCATCATTTGAATTAGATTCATATTAGAGCATACCTACCAACTGTCCCGGATTTGATGGGACGTTCCCGAGATTTTATTTCAATCCCGGTGTCCCAGCAAATCCGGGATTCAGCACATCCAAGCTGAATCCCAGAGCCCAGTGCTGGAACGAGTACATATCTGAAGCCTGGGGTTAACCATATCCCTAAGCTCCTCCCACTGTATAATGTGGACACACCCATTTTTTACCAGAGCACTACAGTATGAGCACCACTGGTCTCTAACTCCCTCGGATGTCCCTCATTCTCAAGTTTGAAAGTTTGGAGGTATGTTAGAGTGCTAACATGGCCATTGACATTAAATGTTAGACATGTTTTTCACAGCTAAATATATTTTTATTATTTTCAGATCAAGGCATGGGTACTGCACATATATTACAAGTATGCACATAAACACACTAAGTAAGCAACTTATATAAGCAGAGCAATGGTAATTGGCTAGAAGAATTCAACCAAAAACAAAAAAGATCTACTGGTACTGTATTGTGGAGGTCTCAATATGTCTTTGGGGACCTTTAAAGTCAAGGTCCCACAATGCAGCTCACTTTTAACATTTTCAAAGTAATAGAATAATATAGGCCACCCCAATTTACTTATTTTATCTACCCAGAATGCTCTGTTTGAGACACAATGTATTATGCTTATGCTATACCCTAAAGCAAACCTGTGATGACCAAACACAAAAAGCGTGTACTTATCAAAGCAGGCATCATATAGTGCTAGAGCTGAATTTCACTTTGAGTCTACCTGTACCGGCGGTCCACATGGAGTCCCACAAATATAGCCAGCTCGAATACAACTTCTGCTAGGTCCCTAAACCACATGCCACAGTGTATTTGTAAATGTAATAGTTTTTACAGTGTGTCTTGTTTTTATTTGCACTCTTTTGATGGTTAACCTCCTCGGCGGTATAAATCTTTCCGATTTTGTGTGCTGAAAGCGGTACCATTTTTTTGCATGGAAAATATGTAGTTTTTTATTGTAGGCTGTAATTTTTAGGGATAACTCACTGAAATCTGTCCGAACAAGAGTCTATTAAACATCCCGGGTAGGATAAAATTTGAAACACGAAATCATAAATTATAATTTAATAAATAATCATAAAAAATAATAATATAATAATAATACATTTAATTCAATAATATAATCAAACCAAAAACACTGAAATTTGAAATACAGAGGCAAATTCGCACATCGCTGAGCAAAGTCGCAAAATCGTTTTCAGTGTCTGATGACAAATTTCCCCACTAATCATCACTCAATTCTGCAAGTGGTTCTGATTACTATATCGCTGGTCTAAAACCGCTTTTGACGTAAAGGGATGTTTTTTGGACGCCATGGACTTTTCTGTTTACAGGCAGAAAGAACATTCAAAATGCAGGCAGGGCACAGACAAAGCAGTAGGGACAAAATATATGTGAAATGCATTGAAACAGCAATGACAGCAAAAATGACATTTTTTAAAAATTTCAAATTTCCCGCCGGTTCCGGCGCCCCCGTACGTCCAGACGTCACAGGGACCAGAACACAGAAGCCGGATGCCGACATCAGCCGGAGGAGATGGCCGGGGATGCTGCAGGGGACACATCGCGGGAGCGAAGGACAAGGTAAGTGCTGCAGGGACCCCCAGAGCAACGCCGCATGGTAAGCCCGAGTGTAGCTCGGGGTTACCGCTCTTGGTATAGAAATTTTACCCCGAGCTACACTCGGGATTACCGCTAAGGAGGTTAAGGGAGTACTAGCCCCTTCCACCCTTGCAGAGCTGGGTTTTCCCCCTGCAAGGCAATATCATAATGTGCTAGTATGCACTGCATAATAGCACTTTATGAAAAACTTACCTGAAAACGAAGCCCTCCAGGGGCCGGCGGCTGTGACCGCTGAAAGGGCTTCCATCTTCATCCGGTCTTCCTTCCGGTTTCGCAGACTCCAGCCATCTGAATGGCTGAGATGCGAAGACGTCACTCCCGTGCATGCACGGTACACATTTAGGAGATATTCATTTTACCTACAGGTAAGATTTATTATCAGCTTACGTGTAGGTAAATATATAAAAAAATGAATTTCCTACCACTTTAATGGGCTTTGTTGAGACTGACATTTACCACTCCTGCTCTGGTATGGCTGGACTTACCTGATGGGGTTTGTAGATACTGACATTCACCCATGATTAAAGTAAAACTATAGGCAAAACTGTTTTGTCCTTTTGGATTGAGTAAAGACGAGTTATAACCCTGCCAGTTTTGTTTTTTTGTTTTTTTTTACCTTTGAAGAGACTTCCCTTCACTTTCTGCCCCATAGCCACAACAGGAAGTGAGAGAAAATGCCTCCAAAGTGAGGAAATCCCTAGTTGTTACTTGGGTCATTAGAGCTAGTGCCCCTTTGGAAGATCTGCCCCTTTACTTCTGTTCAGGTGACAACCCAAGATTTGGGATTGTTGCTTTCAGTCACCAAGACAAATAGAGAGGGTGAATCTCCCCAGCGGGGGTGCAGACAATGCCCCAAGTCTATCCAAAACTAAAAAAAAAAAGTTTGCCTTTAGTTTTACTTTAAGGCCTTATAAACTAAATGTGTCAGCAGGTGTCAAGAGTTTGTAAGCCTCATGTTCCATAGTAGCTGCCATTCTCATTCCAGCATTCTGGATTTGGCTGAGCTGCATTCTCCCTTTCTGTCTGTCCTCCTGCAGGGTGATTTCTAGACACAACCTTTGGGTGGTATCCAAACTTGTTTTAAGCCTGCCAAGCCCTTAGTGTTGTGCTTGTGATAGTGTTTGTAAGACGTCCCTCAAGCTCCCTGTTTGCCTGCTTTGTTCCTGTGCCATGACCCTGCCATCACCTGATCCCCACCCTGCCTGCTAGTTTTTGACCTCAGATTGTTCTTTAGACTACTCTCTGAACTCTGCATGTCTTTTGACCACAGATTTGACCCTGACTACTCTCTGAACTTTGCCTGCTCTGACCATGGACCACTCTGCCTGTCTGCCAACCACAAATACCCATTGCTGTGCTTAGCTAGCACTTGCTTGCGGTGACCAGTCACTATAGCATTGTGTATAAGACCTGGGGACAAACACGTATCAGTAGGCCTGCTTGACCTATGGGAAAGGGGACTGCTATAGGTGAAGAACACAGTGCCAGCTATAGTGTCTGACCACCAACACTAAGGGTAGGTGTGAAAGCAGGATCGTCATGTTTCGATTTATTTGACTTTTACACTCTTATAAGAATGTATAGCAGAGCGCCATTTTCCCCTAAAACATCCCACAGGTAATGTCTTAGTGCTTGACCGAACTATTACCAGTTTCAAGCACTGTCATCTGGGGGTGGGGCATACATCTATTTATGCAAATTTAACTTTGAGAAAGTCAGTATTTTCTATAGACAATTGGCATTCTTTGTGCACAATGGCAGCAGTTTGCTTGGGCACTATATAGTGTCTGCTTAACCCCTTGGCACTGATGCCTCCTGGCCCTTTAAGAAGTTTGTGATGCCAGGAGGTGGGGCAGGGTTTAGGGTTATGTGATCACCGTGATTGGTTGCCACGTGATCAGAAAGCTCAGGACAGCAAGTAGCGATCTGGACCTTTCCGTGAGGTGCCGGTAAATGTGCCGGGAGCGCACAGGTCACTTGTTTACATTGGGTACATAAATATGCGGCCCCTAGGTGCCAAGGCCTAGCCACTGAGAGGCAGCATACTTGCTTTAGCTCGGCACCAAGGAGTTAAATTTGCACAGGTCGTATTTACTATTCAGCCTAGCCACGATGACCACACATCTCTTTCTGGGTAGTAAGAAAGAAGTTGAGGATTAAGTGGCAGTGTTACTTTGTTTCATATAATAACGGCGGGCAGCTTTTATGTGATACACACAGAGATGAAATTGAACTTTTCCCAGAAAAAATTATGTAAAAACCCTCCAAAGGTAGTGCTACAGAATGCCATGTTACTATTAATGCTGCAACTCTTATTAATGAACCTATTGCTATTAGTCTTTATGCACAATAACCCAGAGCAACCAATCAGATCTTTGTAGGTTAGCATAGTTCACCTAATTAATGATCTGTGATTGGTTGCTTTAGGTTGTTAGAGCTACCTCCCCTGTATTGTACTACTCTGCTTACCTTTAGGCGATCATTGAAAACCTATCTCTTCAGGGAAGCCTATCCCACCCTCTGCTAATACTGGAATCCTCTACTCTTTCAACCACTCCATCCCCCACAGTTTTACCTTTTGTACCACTCACCCCTCCCTCCTAGATTGTAAGCTCCAAGGAGCAGGGCCCTCAATTCTCTCTTGTATTGAACTGTATTATTACTGTACTGTATCCCACTATAATGTAAAGCGCTGAGCAAACCGTTGGCGTTATATAAATCCTGTGTATAATAATAATAATAATAATAAATAATAACTGTATCCTTGGAAGAACAACTTGGTAGGGTTATACCCTAAAAAAGCACTGTATGCTAGTAAATGTATAGGGGCCTAGTACACATAATGGGATAGGCAACTAGGGACAAATGTTTGAACCCTACTGTATAGGTTAAAATTTTATTCAATATGGTATGATACTCTGCTTGTTTTAAATGGCCAAAATGTAATAATGTTTCCAGAAAAATACTTTTTATTTGGAGAAAAAGCATGATCACTGCTAGCACCAAAAAAGTCCCATTGAGATTAATATCCACTTGAGCTCTGGAAGACTTTACCCCCTTCGTCACCAGGCCACTTTTGTTTCTATTCAGCACTGTGCCACTTTAACTGGCAGTTGCGCGTCCATGCAATACTGTACGCAAATAAACTTTTCCTATATTTTTTTCATAGAAACAGAACCTTCTTTTGGAGGTATTTGATCACCACTTTTTTTTTTATTTATTTGTGACATAAATATAAAAAGACCGAAAATTTTGAGAAAAAAAATATATTTTCTACTTTCTGTTATAAAGCATATCCAATAAAATCAAATTTCGTCATAAATTTATGCCAAAATGTATGCTGCTGCAATGGATTAACCATTCATGACAGCAGTGATCACGGGATGATTTGTGATTGGCTACAGCTAATCACATGGTACAGGGTGCTGTGACTGGCCCAGGTATCATGTGACAGCTGTGGGCCAATCACAGCCTAGGAAACACAGCTGTTATGAATTCATTGATAACAGCTGTGTTGACACTGTGCTCATGTGATCACATAGCTATCACATGATCACCAGGACCTGCATTTCACTGTGTCCCTGAACCTGACATATATGCATGGTGGACTGACCATTTGGAAACTTAGGCACTGCCCGAGGGCCCGGGGTCAGTAGGGGGCCCCATGAGATGCCCCTGGTACCTTTTTCATAGGCTTTTTTGAGTTTGGGCAAGGACACAGGGGCCCCATGATCCCCTATTGCCCAGGGGGCCCCATGGGTTGTCATTCTGCCCCTGCATACATGTACATGATTTTGTCTTCAGGTGTCGCCGAGCCGCAGTGTATGTACTGCGCCTGGCCAGCAAGTGGATATTGTGTATTATTGGTATTGAAAAGGATGCAGTAGACATGCTGGTAGGTTAATTGGATCCTGTCTAAATTGGCCCTAGTATGTGTATGTATGAATGTGCGTTAGGGACCTTAGATTATATGCCCCTTGAGGATTTAGGACTGATGTGAATGTACAATATATATGTAAAGCGCTGCGTATATTGACGGCGCTATATAAGTACCTGAAATCAGGGGCGGACTGACAACTCATGGGGCCCCTGGGCAATAGGGGATCATGGGGCCCCTGTGTCCTTGCCCAAACTCAAAAACGCCTATGAAAAAGGTACCAGGGGCATCTCATGGGGCCCCATACTGACCCCGGGCCCTCGGGCAGTGCCCGAGTTTCCAAATGGTCAGTCTGCCCCTGCCTGAAATAAAGTAAACGCAGTACCTATGGTCACCAATCCACTTGGTATATACTTTGGACTACTGCAAAGTGCAAAAACCCGCTCTAATACTGTTTTGTAAAGAGTTAATCACTGTATAAAATAAACTTTGAAAGTTCCTTTTCATCAATCTACAAGCCTAGGTTGTCTTTTTAAAAAAAATCATTAAAACACTGTATATCATTATTTAAAATGCTACTAAAAATGAAGAGGTTTTCATTTCAGTAGGCTAATAACATTTTAATCCTATTCCCGCGTTCAGACGAAGTCACAATGCACAGAGTACACATTTTTAAATTGTGATCCACTTGATTTGTATAACAGAGACAACCTGCTGTACTGTTTCCTTCTAATCTCATACATTTTGATAGCATGTGATTTTCTTCTATAGAACAACTGCCATGTTTTAAAGGGTTATTGATGTACTTGTGAATAACTGCTCGGCTAAAGAATGTGCAGCACAAAAGAATTTCATTGGAGACTTAAATAAAAAATTATTGATTTGGAAGACTAAATAATTTGGTGTTTATTTGTATTGCATTATGGGAAGTATAACTCTACGTGAAAGTGATTCGACCTTTAACACAGCATGCTGTCGTCAATTACATACCATATTTTTTCAATATGTAATAGGGTATTCTGATGTAATACTTGAGGGGCATGAGAGGCCAGTGAATAAGATGTAGGCTGTGATTTTAAATTCTTTTTATTTTTATGTTACATTCTATGTAATTACCTTTAAAAAAAAAACACTACTAAAAGGATAAATAAAAGAAATATATTCACTTTAAGGCACTTTATGCATATACAGACTGATTTTACTGTTGTGGGTTTAGTAACACTATAAAGGTCTATGGCTAGGAATGTTACAGGGATGCCAACAGCAAGGAGCAGGGCGCAAGATAGCAGAGGGTTCGGGCTCAGTAGTAGGGATACTGTTCTAGCAGGACTGGAGCAGGGTAGGGATTTGTGTAATGGAGACAAATTCACCCAACCATGAAGCCCCTCTTACATACTGCAGTGGTCATGTGCTATCAAGAAATATATACAGAAGGAGAGAGGAGTGACAAACAGATGAGTTCTGTGCTGCTTCTCCTTTCACTGTCCAGTGAACTACATCAAGAAAGGTTGGTTCTTGGGTGGAGACACTGCTGTATGCAGTCAATTCATCAACTATTTAAAAACATGTTAAAAATTATTCTAAGAGGAGCTCACTGGAGTGCTTCTGATATTCTTTCATGTTTTCAAAGGAACACTTTATTGCCATGTCCATTCATATGCAGGAGCCATGTGAAAAGTGATAACTTGGGACCTGGTTTGGGCTTGGGACTTTCATCCAATGTGAGAACGTTTGGTGTCTGAGTACTGTCAGGTGGGACAAAGGGGACAAAGAGGCCTCAGCGGTAGGGATACTATTCTAACAGGACTGGAGTGGGGTAGGGATTTATGTAATGGCACCAAATTCACCCAACCATGAAGCCCCTCTTACATACTGCAGTGGTCATGTGCTATCAAGAAACGTATACAGAAGGAGAGAGAAGAGTGATAAAGAGATGAATTCTGTGCTGCTTCTCCTTTCACTGTCCAGTGAACTACATCAAGGAAGGTTGGTTCTTGGGTGGAGACACTGCTGTATGCAGTCAATTCATCAGCTATTTAAAAATATGTTAAACATTACGCCAAGAGGAGCTCACTGGAGGGCTTTTGATATTCTTTCATGTTTTCAAAGGATCATTTTATTGTCTATTCATATGCAGGAGCCATGTGAAAAGTGATAACTTGGGGCCTGGTTTGGACTTAGGACTTTCATTCGATGTGAGAGTGTTGGGTGTCTGAGCACTGTCAGGTGGGACAAAAAGGACAAAGAGGCCATAGCAGTAGGGATACTATTCTAGCAGGACTGGAGCGGGGTAGGGATTTGTGTAATGGAGACAAATTCACCCAACCATGAAGCCCTTCTTACATACTGCAGTGGTCATGTGCTATCAAGAAACGTATACAGAAGGAGAGAGAAGAGTGACAAATAGATGAATTCTGTGCTGCTTCTCCTTTCACAGTCCAGTGAACTACATCAAGGAAGGTTGGTTCTTGGGTGGAGACACTGCTGTATGCAGTCAATTCATCAACTAATTAAAAACATGCTAAACATTACACCAAGAGGAGCTCACTGGAGTGCTTCTGATATTCTTTCGTGTTTTCAAATGATCACTTTATTGCCATGTCCATTCATATGCAGGAGCCATGTGAAAAGTGATAACTTGAGGCCTGGTTTGGACTTAGAACTTTCATCCAATATGAGAGCATTGGGTGTCTGAGCACTGTCAGGTGGGACAAAGGGGACAAAGAGGCACGTGAAAGTTCCGGCTATTTTTTTTTCCCTCCCACTGGGAGAAGTTATGTCTATGCTGGGGCGGACATTAGCGTAAACCATTTGTTTTGCATAGGCAAATTACAGGTTCACTTTAAAGGGAGTAATCATGCTCCCATATTATTATCACCCTTGAGGCTCCATGTACGCGGGGCATTTTGATAATGCTGGTAACGTTAGCTGTGTAAATTCACGTTAAAAATGTGAGTTCTTCACCTTTTTTAGCGTTTTTGCATTAGCGTTTTGCTGCGATTAGCGACGTTTTCCCTCGTTTTTCTGTGTTTGCATTTTTAGCATTTTTTTTACCAAACAAAATTATTTTTTCGGTCAAAAAGTCCAAAAACGCCAATTTCCTGCATTTTACCACGTTTTGCCATGTTTTTCAAAATTTTTCAGTGTCAGAGTGTTTTTACAGCTAAAAAACTCCTCTAGAAACCCACTAGTCCTGGATTTTTTTTCCAGCCAAAAAACGTCCCAGCCAAAAAACGTTGATTACAGTCTATGTCTGCGTGGACACATAGGATAACATGCTGGGGGGTTTACTGGCTGTAGAAAAAAAAACGTCAAAAGCCAAAAAAAGCCGCTGTAAAAACGTCCAGTGTGCATGAGGACTGATTATTACTTATTGGTACTTGAATGAGCATCATGTAGGGATGGAAACATACTTTGTTGTAAAACATTAGCTCATTTATGCAATTTATCATTTGCTAATACCAACCTCTATGGTCTCTTAAGGTAAAATTTGAATTCGTATGCGCATGTTCTTGCGGAAAGTTGAATGAGAATCGAGCTCCATTGGCTGTGTCGTCTTTATCAATTGCTGTTATTTTTAAAACATTCTAGGAAAAAAGCAAGCAAAAAATTATTGATGCTGCGATGTAATATTATTGTTGTTATCAATAAACAAAACTAGATAAAGAACATAAGCACTTATACCCCGGGAACATCAAGAACAACTTTTAAATCGGACGACTTCACTCAAAATCAGGGGACATGCCGCTTTCAGGTGTAATTTGCAAGACATCTGACACAGATGTCTATGCAAATCATATGGAAACTAGTGCATGTACTACTTTAGACATCAGTGCGGCTCCGACCAAGTCGGAACCGTACAGATTTGACCAATTGCGGACAATAGGGTGCGACTTGGCATATGATTTGCAAGTCACGTGGCATGCAAATCGCAAGGCAAGTTGCACCCAGTACGACCGGGGTGTAAGGCTAGGTTCACACTGTTGCGGTTGTGGGACAGCATGTTAACCTCCCTAGCGGTCTGATTATGTCAGTATTTCTGTGCTCAAAGCGGTACTTTTTTTGTATGGAAATATGTCGTTTTTTTATTGTAGGTCTGTAATTCTTAGGAATAACTCAATGAAATCTGTCCGAACAAGAGTCTAGTAAACATCCCGGGTATGATAAAATTTGAAACACAAAATCCTAAGTTATTATAATATAATAAATAATCATAAAAAATAATAATAAAATAATAATAAATTTAATTCAATAATGTAATCAAACCAAAAACACTTAAATTTGAAATATAGCGCCAAGTTCACACACCACTGAGCTTAGTCGCAAAATCGTTTTCATTTTCAGTAAATTAGAACCACTTGCAGAATTGAGTGATAATGATTCGTGGGGAAATTTGTCATCAGACAATGAAAATGATTTTGCGACTTTGCTCAGTGATGTGCGAACTTAGCGCTATATTTCAAATTTCAGTGTTTTTGGTTTGATTATATTATTGTATTAAATATATTATTATTAAATATTATTATTTTTTATGATTATTTAATAAATTGTAATTTATGATTTTGTGTTTCAAGTTTTATCCTATCCGGAATGTTTACTAGACTCTTGTTCTGACAGATTTCAGTGAGTTATTCCTAAAAATTACAGCCTACAATAAAAAAACTACATATTTCCATGCAAAAAAATGGTACCGCTTTCAGCACAAAAATCGGAAATAATCAGACCGCCGAGGAGGTTAAACACGCATAAACGCGGTATGCAAATGCGGCAAAAACAGATGTTTTTTAACCTACGTTTTCTAGCTGTCAGTTTCCATCGTTCAGAAGCGTTTTCCAAACGTGCGGTGTACATAAGCCTAACACTCAAGTATGCCTCAACAATTTTTGCCTCTGTTCACCTTTTTTTGGTCACACTTCATTTATCTGTTCTTGTACTATTTGTAAAATTCCAAAATGTTACGTATTCACAGCTGTACTATCAGAGTTGTGCTGAAGCAAAAACTGTAAGTCTCAGCTCCAGATGTTCGGCATTTATAGTTCTGTACCAGCTGAAAAAAATGAAGAGTGTTCCTGAACATAGCAGCAGCCACACATGAGACAGACATCAGCAGAGATGTTTTATATTTACATAGCAAATCTCAGAGTTCAGCTTTCGTTCTTTTGATGTCTAATTTGGGCAGCATTACGTCTACTGAGGGTTGCAGTTACTTCCTTCCAAAAAAGATTATGGCACCTTGGAACTCATTATTATAGTACAAACCAACACTTACAATAATTAAACCCAAAGGGAGAGGGTGTTATATATTCCTGAAGACTTTAGCTGCAAAATGATATACGGAAATGTAACTTATCAACAGGTTAACAGTTGAGGGAGCAATCGTTTTTATCTAAAAATACCAATTTAAAAATCTTGCTCCGGAGCCAAGCAAGTATATTCAGAAACTGGAACACCCAAATTAGCACAGACACACACAATGATTTAGGCTCCATGTACACGGGACACTTCTGAACGATGGAAACTAACTGCTGGAAAACGTAGGTTAAAAAACGTCTGTTTAGCCGCGTTTGCATACCGCGTGTATGTGCGTTTATAAGGGTTTGCGTTTAGAAGAGTTTTTTAAACTATGTATGAGTGTGAGTTAGGGACTTTATATTTGTACACCCCTTGAGGGTTAGGGGCTGATGTGAATGTACAATATATATGTAAAGTGCTGCGTAAATTGACGGCGCTATATAAGTACCTGAAATAAATAAATAAATAAATAACCTCAGAAGACCTTCCAAAATGCCCAGAATGCACTGAAAAACAGTAAAAAATTAACTATTTCAGACATTTTGAGAGAAATAGAGAGAGCAGAAGCAGAGAGAGCAGTATTTGAAACCTCAAAGTATGGTGTACCGGGTCCATTTGAGTACCGGGAAAACGCTTTGCATACATTTTTTATGATGAAAAAAAAAGTCTCTGGACAGCGTCTGGAAATGGAATTGTTAAAAACATTTTCCAAACACAAACACTTATAAATGCGGTTAGCCGTGTTTACAAGCGGTTGGCGTTTAAAACGCTGATAAAATCTACTCCTGAACACAAGTTTGGTGCGTTCAAAAAATCGACTGTAAACTCAACTGCCTGTAAACGACTGTGAACGACTATGTGTACATGGACACATAGGAAAACATTAGGGAGCGTTCAGGGGCTGTTGACAAAAAAGCAGAAAAGCTCCTAAACGTGAGTTTATCAGCTGCAGTGTACATGGGGCCTTAGGACTGACTGATTTGAAAGATTAAACAATGTTGTTTTCTGTTTCAGTTTCAGATGGTCTCGATGTTCTGTTGCATGCTTTCTGTAAGAAGGCATAACAAAGCCTTCTTGATTTATTTTTGTACTTCAAGCTGCATGAATTGCAGCAAAATGAATGGTCTTTGCTGCATACTAAATACGCAAGAACTCCTCTAATGACTCTTAGGTTGGGATGAACAAAAAAGAGATCATTTTCCTTATTTCAGGACAATTTGGATGATATGCAAAAATTCAACACTGTGAAATAAGAAGAGTAAAGCAGAGTTTTTGGTGGTTTTGGTTGGTGGTAAGGGTGAAATGTGCATCACGACCAACAATGCCACCATCAGTCCCACCCCGCAAGCCAAAGTCCTAGGTGTCACTCTAGACCAGCAATGGGCAAACTACGGCCCGCGGGCCGTATACAGCCCGGCAGACCTGTTAATCCGGCCCGCGGAGCTAGGCTCCCGCTAGGCTCCTCTCACAGTCCGCCCTGAAGACCAATGTAGCATGAAAATCTGTCTCCTATGAGGATCTGTCCCCCTCGACGTATCTGCGCATGTGCCGGAGATCGCCGATCGGCTGCTAATGCCTGAAACTGGCACATGCGCAAATACATCGAGGGGGACAGATCCTCATAGGAGACAGATTTTCATGCTACACCGGAACGGCGCGGGAAGATGGCGAGAGGAACGCGCGGAGCAAAGGTAAGTGAATTGACACAGGGGGACTTGGGGACTTAATATGGGGAATGAATTACTATAGGGGGGGTGAATTACTATATGGGGGATGAATTACTATGGGGGATGAATTACTATATGGGGGATGAATTACTATATGGGGGATGAATTACTATATGGTGGATTAATTACTATATGGGGGATGAATTACTATATGGGGGATGAATTACTATGGGGGATGAATTACTATATGGGGGATGAATTACTATATGGGGGATGAATTACTATATGGGGGATGAATTACTATGGGGGATGAATTACTATATGGGGGATGAATTACTATATGGGGGATGAATTACTATGGGGGATGAATTACTATGGGGGATGAATTACTATATGGGGGATTAATTACTATGGGGGATGAATTACTATATGGGGGATTAATTACTATGCTTACTATGGGGGAATATTACTATACTTACTATGGATGACACATACACATCATTCATCTACTCTTGGTTCGGCCCCCGGGTCCAATATATGAACCCATTGTGGCCCTCAAGTCAAAAAGTTTGCCCACCCCTGCTCTAGACTCAAACCCGTCCTTCCAACCCCATGTGCAATCGTTGGCAAACTCATGCAGGCTCCACCTCTGCAAAATCTCCAAAATACGTTCGTTCTTAACCCCAGACACTACTAAACAACTCGTTCACTCCCTTATTATCTCACGTCTGGACTACTGCAACTCCCTTCTCACCGGCCTACCTCATCACAGACTATCCCCGCTTCAGTCTATCCTGACCTCAGTGGCCAGACTCATCCACCTTACCAACCGCTCCGCTTCTGCCACCCCCCTCTGTCATTCCCTCCACTGGCTCCCGATTGCCCAACGCATTAAATTCAAACTACTAACACAGACATACAAACCCATTCATAATGCTGCCCCAAACTACCTCACCGACCTGATACCCAAATACCACCCTACCCGTAATCTTCACTCCTCACAAGACCTCCTACTTTCTAGCTCCCTGGTTTCCACCTCCCACGCCCGACTGCAGGACTTCTCCAGGACTTCCCCCATCCTCTGGAACTCACTACCCCAATCCATCAGACTGTCACCTACCCTCCTCACCTTTAGGCGCACCCTGAAAACCCATCTCTTCAGGGAAGCCTACCCCGCCCTCACCTAACAGCCGATCTCCTCCACTCCTCCTACCACTCCATCCCCCACAGCTATCTCCTCCTGTACCACTATCCCCTTTCTCCAAGATTAAAAGCTTGAAAGAGCAGGGCCCTTGAACCCCTCGTGTTTTGTTTTGTTACTGTATTGTCTCATGTTCTGTCCCCCACTATAATGTACAGAGCTGAGAAAACCTTTCAGCGCTATATAAATACTGTATAATAATAATTTCAGCCACCCTGGACCTGCATGTCTTCTTTTGCCAAAAAATGGGCCCTCATTAATCTTACTGGTTTACTTTACAGCTGGGGTGTCCAATCTTCTGACCTTCCTGGGCCACATTGGTAGAAGAGGAATTGTCTTGGGCCACACAAAAAATACACTAACAGTAAGTATAGCTGATGGGCAGAAAAGTCAGTCAAGTCACAAGTTATGGATCACTGTTGGACCATGTTCACATATGTGCGGAGCTGGTTATAGTAAGGAGTCCGGAGTGGTTTTATTCAGTGGTTCAGGTGTAAATTTTTAAAGTGTGTGACACTTTAAATCACACCTGGACTGAAAATCATACCTTTAACCTCCCTAGCGGTCTGATTATTTCAGATTTTTGGTGCTGAAAGCGGTACCATTATTTTGCATGGAAATAAGTAGTTTTTTTATTGTAGGCTGTAATTTTTAGGAATAACTCACTGAAATCTGTCCAAACAAGAGTCTATTAAACATTCCGGATATGATAAAATTTGAAACACGAAATCATAAATTATAATTTAATAAATAATCATAAAAAATAATAATATAATAATAATACATTTAATTCAATAATATAATCAAACCGAAAACACTGAAATTTGAAATATAGCACTAAGTTCGCACATTGCTGAGCAAAGTCGCAAAATCGTTTTCAGTGTCACTTTCAAATTTCCTGCCGCCGCCGGCGCCCGTACGTCCCGATGTCACAGGGACCGGAACACAGAAGCTGGATGCCGGCATCTGCCGGAGGAGATGGACGGGGATGCTGCAGGGAACACATTGCGGGAGCGAAGGACAAGGTAAGTGCTGCAGGGACTCCCTATGCAGCGCCGCATGGTAAGCCCGAGTGTAGCTCGGGGTTACCGCTTTTGGCACTGACATTTTACCCCGAGCTACACTCGGGAATACCGCTAGGGAGGTTAAAAACGTACTGCGCCGGCCTGCACGTAAGTAAACTGGCTCCATAGAAAGCTAGTTTGGTTCACATGTCATGCAAATCAGATGCGGTTCAAAGAGCATCCAATTCGCATACATGTGAACCGGGGCTAATAGATAATATACCTGAGTAATCAAACTTCATTTTTTTTTGGTAATATTTTTTAAAATAGGGCAGCATAAAACTAGTGCGATCTTTGACACTGTTTTTGATAAACTAACACATCAATATCTGGTTCTATGGATATAGTAGCAATTCTCAATGAATTCTCAAGGTGCTCATCAGATATTTTGGTTTTAATTTTGCCCTTCGTGTGCTTCATCCATGCAAATAGTTGCTTGCAAATGTTAGTGCTGCCAAAAACTGATGACATGAATAAGGCATGATTGTGAAAGGTGGGAATTTTTTCTTGGGAAGATAAAATTGGGACACTGTAGATTTTTTCTTTGCCACATGTGTTAGCTATGTGTAAACACATTTTTACAAACAATTTCAAAAAAATTAAAATTTTTAAGCAAGTTTTCGATTTGTGTTAGGCCTCATTCCTAGCCACCTTGGGCTGCGTACAGCTTGTGGGCTGTGGTTTGGACACCCCTGCTTTACAGTAAGTAAAATAAATAAATAAATAAATAAATGGCAAATTGAAAATAAACTAAGCTACTATAAATACATAAAAAAAAAAATAACTACACCCTCTACCAGGGGCGGACTGACAACTCATGGGCCCCGGGCAATAGGGGATCATCGGGCCCCTGTGTCTTTGCCCAAACTCAAAAAAACCTATGAAAAAGGTACCAGGGGCATCTCATGGGGCCCCCTACTGACCCCGAGTCCTTGGGCAGTGCCCGAGTTTCCAAATGGTCAGTCCACCGCTGCCCTCTGCATAAAGAAAAATAAGGAGATCACATTGCTATATAAGCAGCTCAATGAGCAAAATTGAGAGTGGTCGCTTCTGCATACAGTACATGGTATCCCACTACCAATGTCATGTTTAAAGCCACCCCAACTAATATCAGATTTTGGTGTATACCCATAAAAACACATGCATTTTGACCTAATGATAAGATCTGAAACTAATATTTCCAAGGCTAGCTATAAAATGGCTGATTGACCATAGAGAATAATGGACAATGAGCCATTGCCAAAACCTCAAACCCATCACAGCGCTGTCAGGGCCCATAGAGCAAGTTTTTGGTTCAACCTAGCCAGGGAGTGTTAGCAGGACATGTTCTTGTTTCAGTTTTTCCAAAGAAAAAGAATAGTCAACACCATGCTTGCACAGAGATTTTTGCAAGTTAAAAACCAACTAAAACTTAGAGATATCCTAGGGAACAATGTTTCTCAAAGACAGACCAGCCACAGACACAGGCCAGAGTCATAAAAGAAGTGCAAGAGGAGGTTACATGCTACCAACACATATGGAGAGATAAGGAGAGGATCAGTAGGAAGTGGAAGACCCCCTGGAGGAGAGAGGGAGAAATCCATCCATTCACCATAATCCAGGAAACCAGGGCTCTGGATGACATGAAGACCCCCTGCTGAAAAAAGAGTATCACTACACTCATCTATCCATCCATTCATCTGGGATAAGGATACAGCCTGAAAATCACCCACAAGTCCATTTAAAGGGACACAAGCTGTTTTTGACCTCACTTAACGGTTTGGTCAAAAAATAAGGGGAGCGCACATTGGAGAAGGAGCACTTTATGAGAACTTATCACGAAGTGGACTTTTTAATTGATTCTATATATTTTGTTTGGAATGAAGATTTCATTTTAATTTCATTTAAATTATATAATTTTTGTTGTTTTGAGATTGCACAAGAATTAATGGTTCACGGTAATTTAAAAATTTAGTATATGTTTTTTGGAGGATCACGTCATGATATATATGGTTACTATTTAAGCTAGGGATATCCCCTGATGAAGTCACGTGACCCGGTGACGTAACGCGTAGGGGAGGGGCTCTGATGTCACGACGTTGTCTCGGACACAGCACAGCACGGCAAGCATAGCAGAAACCGCAGGACAGGCTGAAACTGCCTTACTCTGAGCCAATCCTAAAAACACTGTATGGAACTTGCAGCAGCAAATAAAGCCTTAATTTTAAAAGGATAAAGCACTATGATGTTTTTGTTTCTTCATACAATCATTCTGTGATATATTGGAGAGAAATTAGTATAGGAGGAAAGAGACCTTTGGAGGAAAAAGCAAAAAATCCATCCAGCCATCAAATCCTGATCAGCAGCAGGCTTAATCACTCCAGAGATCCCAGGTGGATTAAGATCTAGCATAATCATTCCATTTGCCATCAGAAATATCCTAAGCAGGAGGATCATCCCAGCAGTCCTATAAGGACAAAAAGCTAGTTTTGCCTTTTTATAAGGCAAAACCTGAGGTGAGCGCATAATAAAATCACACTGCACGTGGATTATGGGAGCGGCATTGCACCATCACAATTTAAATTGAAAGAGGACTGTCTATGAGCACAATTTTTATATATATTGTTTTATCACTATCATTCTTTATTATAGTCACCAGCACAGTATGCGGTATTTATTTATGATGTTATAAGCAGAAGATAATTGTATTTTATTTTATTTTATACACGAGATATAAGTATATATATCATTTTTTACTTTGGATTGTCATTTGAAATAGTGAATATTGTAATTATTTATACACAGGAGCGCGGCACAATTTATATATTTAATTTACTATTTAAGCGATTTGGTCACATAAGAATATTAACACACTTATTTAATAATTAATAATAATTGGTTATTAGTGGAGCGCAACACAAATTTCACAATATTTGAAAAAATCTTTTGTGATTTGATCTTTTAGGATGTTGACTTGGACTTTAGTAGTCACAGTAACTAAACACATACTATGTTAAAATGAAAACTTTCAGGCTGACCACAGTAATAATAAAAACATAAAGCAATAAGCCATTTACATCAAATAAGAAAAAAATGATCCCACAATGTAAATGAAACAATACCTTGTTCATTGGTGCATTTTCACAAACAGCCGCCTCATAGGGCTCAGGAAATTCGGGAGCATTATCATTCCTGTCCAAGACCTTAATTGATACAGGCACTCTTCTGGAAAAAGCATTATGGGCTGCAAAAGAAAAAAAATTAGATTGACAGTTAAAAAAAATTAGATTGATAGTTAAAAGGGAAAAGCATTTAGTGTCCCAATGTTTGGCATGCTGCTCCAATTTTCTAAGCCGCCAATGCTAAGTATGACCTATAGCCCTCATGTATAATGGACAGAAAAAATCTAGTGGCCTTTTGTAAGCGACCCTTAAATTTTGCTTTCCCTAAAATGTTAAATGTCAAACCCTTCTTTTCCTCATATGTTTGCTTTCTCCACCAAAAACATCTGCTCCTTGGTTCCTAATGTAGTAAATGCATGTGATGGTATCTCTTTCATTGTTACTCAACGCATTTTGCAGCCTATATGCTATGTTTAACAAAATACTCCTGAAGACGTAGATATGTAGTCCACACAACATGTTGAGTGTAAATTATGGAAATACCATCACATGCTGTTGACTCATCTCAGACATAACCTCTATATGAGGTGGTATCAAAAAGTTTTGAGACTAGTTTTGTAACACGCCAACAGATGGCAGCATGCATAGGGAGCACCGACCTTCATAAGTCAGTGTGCCAAAAGACATCATTCTGTGTACATCGGGAGCTGTGCAACTGGTGCTTTTCTGACCACGTGCTTTGCAGCGTCTGCTGTTTCATCATGGACAGCAAGTTAGAACACAGAGCAAATGTGAAATGCTGTGTGAAACTGGGCAAATTGCTGGCTCTCCAAATAAAACCTCCATCTGCGGATATTCCCTGAGCCACAGAAATGATGACTATGAAAGGATAAAAGAGAAGCGGTAATGGTTGGTTTTTGTCCCTCTGATGGTATGTAAGAGTATTTTTCCTAGAATATTTGTTTAATGGAAGAGTTGGATTAAGCTATTGTCATTCCAACAATGTTAAAGTGGTAGTAAACCCTCGGCAACCGATAACATCACCAGTGCATGCACTATGAATGGCATACCAGTGCCATTCCCTCAGGGCTTTCTGCCGCAGTCAAGACTCCTGCGTGCATGTCCATGAGTGACGTCATCGTGGCTCAGCCATTCAAGCAGCAGCAGCATGCGAACTGGGAAGGAAGCCTGGGTGAAGATGGAAGCCTTTGCAATGGTGACAGTGTTCCGCTGGAGGACTTTGTTTAAAGGTAAGGCTTTCATAATGTGCTAGTGTACGATGCATACTAGCACATTATGGGGTAGGTTTACTAAAACTGGAGCACTCAGAATCTGGTGTAGCTGTGCATGGTAGTCAATCAGCTTCTAATTTCAGCTTGTTCAATTAAGCTTTGGCAATAAAATCTGGAAGCTGATTGGTTTCTATGCAGAGCTGCACCAGATTTTGCCCTCTCTAGTTTTAGTAAATACCCCCAATGGCTTTACCTTGCAGGGAGAAATTTTTTTTTTTTTTTTTTTTTTGCAAGTTTCATACCACTGTAATCTTTAATGCAAAAGTGATTGTGTGATATATTAGAGACTATAAGGCATTAAGGCCTAGTTCACACCACCATGGAAAGCAGGCATTTTTAACGCTCCTCAAACTCCTATGCAAATGATAGTATGGGCATCGCTTCAAAACTGAAGCCTCATGTCGAGTCAGGAGGAGTTTGAAGCCTTTCAATGCCTCCCATTCAAGTCTACGATGACACTCTTCAAACTCACAGGCGTTTGTGGGACATTTACGGTGCGGTTGCGGAGCGTTAATAATATTAAAGTTTTATTTAGTTTGTCGTGTGGTTTTAACGCTTGTCAAATGCTTATAAAACACTTCAAAACTGCACATAGGGTGTTTGGGGAGCGTTTTTAACGCTTGTAAAAAGCCAGCCCAATGCCCAAGCTCATTAACGCCTGTCTAACAGCCATACTAAAGCTTTAGGAGCGTTTGATAATAGTTAGAAATGTAGTCAAGTGTGAACAAGCCCTAACAGTAAAGTCATACTCCTACTGGCATTAAAACAATGGTCTACAACAGGGATCTCCAAACTTTCTAAACAAAGGGACAGTTTACTGTCCTTCAGACTTTACAAGGGCCGGACTGCGGCCAGTGGGAGTAGAAATGGTCCCGACATCAGTGGGAAAAAAATAATGCCCTATTGTTTGGTGTCAGTGGGAAGAATTGTGCCCCATCATTGGTGTCATTGGAAGGAGTTGTGAGCCCTTTACTGGTGTAAGAGGTGGGAATTATACCCAATTGTTGGTATCAGTAGATGAAATTGTGCCCCAAGGGCCAGATAAAAGCAAGCAAGGGGCCACAACTGTTTGGAGACTACTGGTCTACAACATGTGAACCCTGGAATGGGGGGGGGGGGAGCTGTGATTCACAGATGTCCACTTGGCAGACAATAATTGTACAACCAGCATGTTGGATACGGACATCTGCCCCACCCTAACATGGCTACCTTTTATTCCTATGCCACCGCAGTCTACTAACCTGCTATATCTCTAACATGTTGTTGAAGAGTTCTATTACCAGCTTTTAAAATAAATTGTTTGTAGTCATTTTTTAAATATGTTATTTTGTCACCTCTGCCTTTTTAGTTCTTTTCAGTGTTATTCATAAAGGAAAGCTTACATGTTAAGTCAAGTCATACATTAAATCTGTTACCAAGCAATTATAATAGCCTTTTTTTTTAAATATTATGTTTATGCAAGCAAAACCAATTTTGAGTTTGATTTTTTTTCTCCGCATATTAAAACTAGATCTCTTGAAACACGCTTGATCTGTTTGTATTAATTCCAGAATAAAAGCAGTAAACTTGCATCAGCATTAAAAGAAAATAAGCAATGAGAAAAATATATAGGCTTCCATTGCTGACTATCTCCTGCTTTCACAAGAAAACAACTAGACGTGAAAAATGAAAAAATCTATTTAATTTTGATTCGTTAATTAATCATTTCGTTTAGTGAAATTCATTAAATTAGTTTGTATTAATTCCAGAATAAAAGCAGTAAAGTTGCATCAGCATTACAAGAAAAAAAGCAATGAGAAAAATATATAGGCTGCCATTACTGCTTTCACAAGAAAAAAACTAGACAAGTGAAGAACGAAAAAATCTATTTAATTTTGATTAATCATTTTGTTTTGTGAAATTCATTAAATTCGTTTTCAGAATTCGTTTAGTTTAGTTTAGTTTATTTGTTTTAGAATTTGGTTCAAATTTTCCAAAAGCAGTCGGATTAAATTCAGTTCAACTGAATTGAATTCAATACGACCAAATTTGGAAAATTCGAAGCAGTATACAAATCCATGTATTTTTCAAATCGAATGCGGCTGCCAAATGTTTTACATCTAAGAACTGAAATATGTTTACATTTCATATTTGTTTTCAAATTCGAATCAAATTCAGATTTCGCTATTTTGGATGAATTTTGTTTTAGTTACATAGTGTGGTTGAAAAAAGACAACAGTCCATCCAGTTCAACCATTAAAAAAAAAAGTTATAATCCTATACCCACAGCTGATCCAGAGGAAGGCAAAAAAAAAAACGAGCAAAGCATGATCCAATTTGCTCCTGCAAGGAAAAACATTCCTTCCTGATCCCCCGAGGGGCAATCGGATATTCCCCGGATCAACTTTACCTATAAATGTTAGTATCCAGTTATATTCTGTGTATCTAAGAAAGAATCCAGGCCTTTTTTAAAGCAATCCACTGAGCTGGCCAGAACCAACTCTTATTTATTTCGGGAGGATTCATTTACATTACAAATTTGGATACATCTGAATTTCCGAATAGCAAAAAATTTGTCCAAATTTGATTTGGAACTAAACAAACACATGTCTAAAAACAACCCTATGTAGTCTCAAGACAGATTTACTGCTGACACGTAACTAGGATTAACAATCTTCCTGCTGATATGTGACAGTGCCGTAAGCAAATCACAAAGCGCCAATGCTTTCATGCGCGGTGAGTCATGTGACCCTCCAAACCCCCAAGAGGATTTAAAGGAAACCTGTTGTGCTGCCAGGGGCGGATTGACCATTCGAGCACTCGGGTACTGCCCGAGGGGCGCGGGGTCAGTAGGGGACCCCATGAGATGCCCCTGGTACCTTTCATTGGCTTTTTCATAGGCTTTTTTGAGTGTGGGCGAGGACACAGGGGCCCCATGATCCCCATTGCCCGGGGGCCCCATGAGTTGTCAGTCCGCCCCTGTGTGTTGCCCATTATAAACAAAGCACTGTTTCTCTTTCAGCCACTGAATCAACATAACAGCAAGGCTGCAAGCATTTTTAGAAGAAAAGGTCCATGATGGTGACCTTGCAGATTTTGCTCACATCTTTACTTAAAGGGCTAGTTCACCTTTTACAGAAAAAATGGAAAGTTGAAGTAACACCATCTACTCTCCCCACCCCCTGTACTTATCCCTGGGGATACTGAGCTGTCAGTGCCCATGAAACTGGTCCAGCGGTTCGGGGATTTGAAATCCCTTCTTTATGCAGTGATTTCAGATCGAATCTGATTTGTTAGCTTCTCCAAAGTGAATCGCTATGGTCTATCCTGTAAGTGCTGCGCAGCGAAGAAGAAGAAGAGTTGGGATTTCAAATCTCCAGACTGTTGGACTGGCTGCATGGGTACTAACCAATCAGCATCCCCAGAGATAAGTACAGGGGCACCTGGGGGGGTTTGAAAAGGGTTCAGTTCACTTTAACAGAAAACCAAAGAGTACAGCTGCATTCGGTGAAACCAGGTAGTCCTGTTTATATCTCCAGTAAAAATAGGACTTTATATGTGTCAGCCACCGGGAGGATAAATCTTTAATATCACATCGAACAACAATAATACAAAATATGTATACTTTTATTGGTTTATCATTAAAAAACGAAGTCACGCTTCATATTTTAAAACCAAATCATCTTTTGAAGATGATATGAACGTGTGATCACATTCAAATAGCAGTAAGATGCACAATAAGCACGTAGGATCAACGTGTTTTGCTGCATTTGCTTCCTCAGAATCCATGCTTTTGATGAACCACTAATATTGAGTGCAAGTATATCAAAGGTTTGGACTTTAGTAAGCAGTGCTTAGTTGTATAAAGCAAGGGTCATAAGCCCTCCTCGGGATGTTCCTAATGATGATTAGAAACATAATAACGTGTACTCCTAATGTCTTTAGAAGTTCACCTTTACATTTTTTCTGGTGAACTATCACTTAAATATGGATTTACATTTTATTTATATATATATATATATATATATATATATATAAAACATCAAAGTTTGTGCAGCGTTTTACAGGAAGGATAGATTATGGCATATCCTGTTATAAAGTGACAACTCTCTGTCCCTGTCACCCAACTCTGCTTCTCTGTTGTTACCTAGTCACATGGGCTAGCAGCAATTTCAATACATGTGACCCAGCCATGGCCCACCATTGTCTCTATCAGCAAACCCACCCTGAGAAATGCCATGCAGCTATCACTGGAGTGCATGTAGACAGGATGTGGCTGCCAGCAGCCTGCTAGAGATCAGTGGCACTGAGATGTAACAAAGAATGAAAAAGTAAAAATTCATATTTTATTTTAAAAATGGCAATTATGACATGCAGTGCTTTAACCTGTTGCCACCCGCATAACCCTAATGTGCTTTGGCAGAAGGGTGGGCTTTAACTCCCACACACTGCACATATGTGTAGCTGGGCAGTCGATGTTTCTGTGCTGAGAGCATGCTCAGTTCATGCTTCCAGCACAGAAATCAAGCTGTCATTGACAGTGCTCACATGACTGAGCTGTCAATGACAGTGGTCAAATGATTGAACTGTCATTGACAGTGGTCACTTGTCTGAGCTCTCATAGACAGTGGTCAAATAACTAAACTGTCATTGACAGTGGTCACATGTCCGTGCTGTCATAGACAGTGGTCAAATGAATGAACTTTCATTGACAGTGTTCACATCATCGAGCTGTCATAGATAGTGGTCACATGATTGAGCTGTCATTGACAGTGGTTACATCACTGAGCTATCATTGACAGTGGTCACATGTCCGTGCTGTCATAGACAGTGGTCAAATGAATGACTTTCATTGACAGTGTTCACATCATCGAGCTGTCATAGATAGTGGTCACATGATTGAGCTGTCATTGACAGTGGTTACATCACTGAGCTATCATTGACAGTGGTCACACGACTGAGCTTTCATTGACAGTGGTCACATGATTGAGCTGTCATTGACAGTGGTCACACTACGACTGAGCTTTCATTGACAGTGGTCACATGATTGAGCTGTCATTGACAGTGGTCACACGACTGAGCTTTCATTGACAGTGGTCCCATGACTGAACTGTCATAGACAGTGGTCCCATGATTGAACTGCCATTGACAGTGGTCACATGATTGAGCTGTCATTGACAGTGGTCACATGATTGAGCTGTCATTGACAGTGGTCACATGACTGAGCTGTCATAGACAGTAGTCGCATGATTGAGCTGTCATTGACAGTGGTAACAGGATTGAGTTGTCATTGACAGTGGTCACACAACTGAGGTGTCATAGACAGTGGTCACATGATTGAACTGTCATTGACAGTGGTCCCATGATTGAACTGTCATTGACAGTGGTCATATCACCGAGCTGTCATTGAGAGTGTTTTACATTGTTGAGCTGTCATTGACAGTGGTCACACGACTGAGCTGTCAGACAGTGGTCACATGATTGAACTGCCATTGACAGTGGTCACATTATTGAACTGTCATTGACAGTGGTCACATGATTGCCAATCATTCCTGCCCCCCCCGAGCATTTAGAACTTTTTAAATGGACATGAGGAGTGCAAGAAGGGGTTAAAGAAAATCAAAATCCATTCAGTTAGGGTTTAATTTAAAAAAAAAAAATATTGTCATTTTCAAATGGACCAAATTGTATAATGTCATAATTGGATTGAATTCTTTTTTAACTTTAAATAAATGCAATGTTTATATAGACATCAACTCATGTCAATGAATAAAACAACAATTTTTTTTTCTTTATTTTCCAATGAGATCAGACTATTCAGCAAATCAATTGAAGCTAATCAATTCACTCATCTCTGACGAGGAGTTCCATCGCAGCCAGAGCAGGCAGGAAATGCTGCCCGCTGCAGCTGTTCTCTCTCCATTGCTCTCTGAAACGGGACTTCCATAATGAATTTGCTCCATCTGGGGAATACTTACAGGCTTCAGTTGCTATCACAGAGATGTTGTGCCAGTCTTTCTCCTCTCTCTGTCCAAAGCCTTTGTGGTTTTGATGTAACCATCCTCTTGGATGTTGAAAAATCTGTCAAGGTCAGTGTGCCGATCGATTGAATACCTAAAGAGGAGGATCGCGGGGTAATTAGACAAGAAAATTACTAAGCAGCCCAGTGCTCAAGTGTTACATATTAAAGATTCATTCGAGAGACATTTCCCAGCAGCAGGCATGGCAAAATCCGAATATTAATGGAATCTATCAAACAACTTTTAAAAGGAAATTTAGCTTCATCATTTATTCATGTCTGCATGTAGAGAACGTTTTGCTACATCAGGATCTTTCCTTTCTATTAATGAAAAAAAAATAACATAATGCCAAATACAAGATAACACAGACTAGTGAATGAAATGATGTAGTAGGTGTTTTATCTCCGAGGACATGTAATATTTATGGCAAGACATCACTTTCCAGCACCTGTTTAGAGGAAAACCAATGAGATTGTATTTGTTGATGTAGGACAGTATTCCCCTAAGGATATATGAGGATTGATTTACTAAAGGCAAATAGACTGGGCACTTTGCAAGTGCAGTTGCACTCATTTTCCTCAAAGCTTAGTGAATGCGGTGAAGTTTCTTTTTGTAAAGAATATCCAAGGGAAATTAAAAAAAAACATTATTGCTTGCACATGATTAGATGATGGAAATCAGCAGAACCACATTCACTAAGCTCTGGGGAAAATAAGTGCAACTGCAAGTACACAGTCTATTTGCCTTAAAGAGGAGCTTTAGTAAAGTGCAAAAATCAGCAGTTTCAAAAACTGTAGCTACTGATTTTTAATAAATAGACACTCACCAGTCCAAGACTCCAGCGCAGTCCTCATCCAGGCTAGTTGTTCACCTGTCTTCTGGTCCCTAATATTCCGGATGGCCTTATGAAGGAGCACGCATATTCCTAACACATTATTATTATTATTATACAGTATTTATAAAGCGCCAATAGTTCGCTCAGCACTGTACATTACAAAGGGGGACAGAACATGTGACAGAACAATAACAATACAATGCAAAACATGAGGGGATCGAGGGCCCTGCTCTTTCGAGCTTACAATCTAGGAGGGAGGGGATGGTGGCACAGGAGGAGATAGCTGTGGGGGATAGAGTGGTAGGAAGAGTGGAGGAGGTCGGCAGGTAAGCAGGGGGTGGGGTAGGCTTCCCTGAAGAGGTGGGTTTTCAGGGTGCGCCTAAAGGAGAGGAGAGTAGGTGATAATCTGATAGGTTGGGGCAGGGAGTTCCAGAGGATGGGTGACACCCTGGAGAAGTCCTGGAGGCGGGCATGGGAGGAGGAGACCAAGGAACTAGAGAGAAGGAGGTCTTGTGAGGAGCGGAGTGTGCGTGCTGGGCGGTACTTGGATATTAGGTCAGTGATGTAGTTCGGGGCAGTACGGTGGACAGCTTTGTACGTCAGTGTTAGGATTTTGAATTTGATCCGTTGCGCAATCGGAAGCCAGTGGAGGGATTGGCAGAGGGGGGTGGCATAAACGGAGCGGTTGGAAAGGTGAATGAGTCTGGCAGCCGTATTCAGGTTCGACTGAAGCGGGGATAGCCAGCGGCGAGGCAGGCCAGTGAGGAGGGAGTTGCAGTAGTCGAGTCGTGATATGATGAGGGAGTGGATGAGCTGTTTAGTGGTTTCTGGGGTTAGGAACGTGCAGATTTTGGCGATGTTGCGGAGGTGGAGTCTGCATGAGTTTGTTAAAGATTGGACTTGGGGCTGGAAGGATAGGTTGGAGTCCAGAATGACACCAAGTACTCTGGCCTGCGGGGCGGGTTTGATGGTGGCGTTGTTGGATGTGATGGAGAAGTCAATGGGGGGTGGTGTCCGGGCTGGGGGGAAGACAAGAAACTGGGTTTTGGAGAGGTTCAGTTTAACACATAGAGGTTCAGTTTAACACATAACACATAGCCATGCCCACCACTTCAACCTCCAGGAAGCACCATCACTGCAACTCACCCTACCATTTGAGGTTTCTGTGTGTAGAGGAAATGGATCTGTGTGATGACTGCACTGACCTATGCTTGATAAGCACTTTTTTTCTGTTTTATGTGAGTTGCCTATCATGTGTTAATATATTTTTGGTGTCCAATACTGCACTCAGATGGCACTGCTTCCCTTTCTCCTTTGTCTTGTTCATGTGCAGAGTTGCTTCTAGTTCTTGGAACAAGCTGCCACTTGGTCAAGTTGCTGGATTCACCTCTAGACTGACAATAAGGACTTATCACAGCCAATATATGACAGAGACGCCATTTACTTAGAGAACCTTTGTGCCTTCCTTCTTGGTGCGCCAAAACCTCCTCTTTTTATTTGAGTCCCTAGCATCAGCATGTTAACTGTGGGCAGCTGGCTATGATTTCTTATGGCTTCATAGCCGACTTCCCTTTGTGAATGTTCCCACAGGCTTTTGGGACCTGTGACGGGCCCCAGAAAGTTGTGGGCAGGGAGGGGGCAGGAGAACTTCCGGTGGATCCCATGGCATTCCGACTGGAAGTGGGAATGGGTATTTCTCAAAACTAGGTACTTACTCCCCCCTCCAAAACATTTATTCCAAATGTGGAAGAGAAGTGGGGGAGGAGGAGAAGGGGCAGAACTTCCTTTTTTATATAAACCCTCAAGTTTTGTTCTCAGTTTGGCTATAGCAGTAAAGGGTTGGCATCTTGTGACCCATGAGCAAACTTGTGCAGTCATAGCACAGCTTGTGGCCACAGTACTGTATGAGGTTACTTGATGATTAATATCCCATGGGATAATTATAATACCTACAGATTCCGAGAAAGAATGGTAGTATCATAAAAGTGTCCTTTGGGTTTATATCTCTCCTAAATGTAACACCCTGCTAATAGGATGCAGGATGTTAAAACTAACACAAGATGGCAGTGTCCTGCAGAACAGTGGCTTTCACACTCTGTAGAGCAGCCCCATGGAACTTGTAGGTTGAATCAGAGGACTTTTTTAAGGAACAGTGCCATAAAGAACTACATTTCCCAGAGGAGCTGGTGTGTGGGTGTAGGCTTATATATGTGTGTATGTATATATATATATATATATATATATATATATATATATATAAGCCTAGGAGATGAGACAGGAAGTGAGAAGGGAGAGATCTGGAGAGAGGAGTGCACTGACTGTGGGAGAACCGGACCAGGCCCTGGAAAGGGAGAAAGAGAGGAGGCAAGAAGAGTTTGCTGATCACTGATTTTGCCACATCATAGAGAAAGTTAATCTGCTAGCAGGTGACTGGATGGAACGCTGCAGGTGGGACCGGAGAGTATGTGGAGGCCTTATCGAAAGAGAGAGAGACCACCAGAGTTCGCCAGACGCCATCACTCGGGTGAGAGAGTCCCAAACATTATCAAGGACAGGGAACACTGACACCTGCTCTACCTTTCTTATTTTTTATTATTATTTGCTTGCACACAGTTGCAGACATTGCACATAGCTATTAGAAGTTGCAGCCTAGTTCCTTTACCTGCCATTGTCTGACTACACTAAGCACAGCCATATCATCAGAACTGATAGCAGGACGGTCAGTCCACAGCCTGAACCACCGCTGTTTCACCATCATCATCAATTCACACCGCTAAGGAGGCCTTTTCCCTATTGTGCCAAAAGTCTTGTACTGTTGCTCTATGCCAGCTACCACTTTTACCAGTCTGGTCACTTATTGCTTTAGATTCGCTAGTGACTACTGCCTTAAAGGAACATTACATCTGTAAAATTGCTGCTGACAGGGGAGTGTTATTTTTCCTTCTCATTATTACACTTTTCTCAGAGAGTTACACCCACCCTTCCTTTCACTGTGCACCAACTGGGCACCATCACACGTGCAGAAGACTCTTTCTAGCCTTTACAGAATATTGGTTGTTTTGGGGTAAAGAGCTATTTTCCCTATTTTAAGGCTATCTCCTTTCCCTCAGCTCCTGAGGGCCCTAAGTGAGCTAGTCTACCTGTTTGATAGTTCCAGCTTTTTCATTAGGGACTGTAAGACCACCTCAAGTTGAAGGTATTGGGTTAGTTTCTGAAAAGCAGGCTTTTTAATACTAGTAGCAATTGATTTTACACATGCCGACTCTGTAACCAAGTCATATTGAAGTTTGCTATAAACCTCTTACTAGCTTACTACAATCCATGTGTGAATTCACTTTACTGGTGGTACATTATTCCAAGAAAGAGTATACTGTGGTGTCAGTGGGGATTTGGCTTTCAGATAGGGGCCCAGATCCACAGGGAACCTGAAACCAATTCAGCAACTCCTAAGGGGGTAGTGCTACATAAAGAAAGACAATTGTATGATTTGAAATATTTAATGTAATTGGAGAAATGATATATAGGCTAACAACTCAAAGTTATGTTAAACTCTCAGGTTTTTTTTGGAATCTTTTTTCAGCAGCTGATTAAAAGAGAAGGATGGTCAAAGCTTTTTTGGCCATACTTCTCTTGTGGGTCACGGGAGTACATTTTCTTTTGTTCTCCTGTGACCAAAAGTTCTCCTGTGACCTACCTTGCCTTACATCCCTTCATTTGGAAGATAATTTTACAATTTGTTACCAAATTCAATGTTATTTCAATGGCGGAACGTCTAGTAAATTCAGATTAACTCATTAGACTCAATAGGAGCATAAGGCAGAGCATACATCATGCAATTTTCTTTCCTTCAACAAAGGGTGGAAGGAAAGAAAATTGCTCTATTTCCCCATTAACACTTTCATTGTTTATAGGGGAAACCCTTCCTTGGTGCTATCGGATTGTGCAGGTGGGGAGCCTTCCCCGCCAGCAGAAAACAATAATCGCTGCATGTTGGTAAGCAGGCAGCTCATGCAGTTGTATACAATACACTCTAATAATAATAAATCCCCATGGAGGCTGTTTAATAACTTCTGTAGCTTCAGCACGTTATGCAAAGGGCCAATGGATGGAGTCAAGGTTGTTCACAACAATACAAGTTGACTTTTTTTAGAGCCTCATTTTTACATACATCTTCATAAGTGTCTTTTTTCCCATTTGCATATTACTTGAGAGCTATATAGAATAAAATTTAAATTTCTTTAATAATTAAATCCCACTGT